AAAAGGGACCGAGAGGAAGGTATATAGCTTTTATAAACAAGGTTCACTAGGTATCTGGATTGCAAACAATATCTACCAAATACGTTATTCATCATTTATTTACGCAAAAACTATACGAAATTTATCCCATTTTCACTTTTGAATTTCATTCGTGTGATATCATTGGAAGAGAGTCTGGATTCATTTGAAATAAAGGCGCTTACTGCTATTTTGCATTGCAGGTAAATATTCTTCTTACTTTATGAAAAAAACACTCGAGAGTTTAGCCGAAATGCAAAATTCGCCAGATGGAGACGTCACTTTCAGGAAACAGGTAATTTCATCAAAGGAACTAACCTGGTTTGCATGTTTGTGTTCTGTTTTAATCGAGCTATTTGTTTTTGTTTCTGCTGTTAAAGAGGTTATCTTTCGTCTCATACTTGTATACCTGAAAAAGAAGTTGCCATAGAAATTACCATGTAAATTATTTTATAAGTTCCTTAACCCCTAGATGTAGTCCTAAGGCGGTACATGATTTCGAGTTTCAAATTTGTGTCTCCACAGAACCATTTTAAAACATAAGTTCATCATCCTAGTTGATACATGCTCCAACACTGTTGTGCACCTTGCAAGCAAGCGGCTTAATATTTGCCCATTTTGCTTATAACTAAAATGAGAAGATATGAAAAGTATTGTTGAATTTTTGGTGACTCTAGTAGGAATTGAATTTTTCGAACAATAACAAATGTAATTTTTCTGAAAATACCGAAGGATATTTTTTTGTTACTGCTAAAGCCTGGAGCTGGCTATGTCCACTACAGCTGAAGATTGATTCTTTTCTTTTCTTTAACATAAATTACTTGGGTAGTCAATTTTACCAGAACTGAGTAATTTTTAGCATCTCGTCAAGTCGCTGTTGCATTACTCGAAGGATTCAGTTCAAATATAGATTCAAAATCTATGGGTTCTAGCTTAGCTGGAAAGTACACTGCCCAATCAGATGACCTGTCAAAAGAATAAATATTTACTGCTTGTGAGTTCTTGCTGTTTTCCTTCAAAATCAGCCTACATTAATCTCCTAGGGTCCTGTACACTTAAGTATAGTCAAGCATTACGAGGACTTGGTAAAAATATAAGCTCTAGTCCGCATGGGATTTGGGCTGATAGACTGGTGTGTTCTCTGTTTGATGAACTATAATTATGTAGCCCTGCCTTAAGTTGCCATGTTTTAAATCTCAACCATTGGGAATTTGTGGATGTATATTAAAGTATCACTCATTATATTACATTTTAGTGTATTTGGATCTGGAATGAGTTTCTTTTCTGTGAAATTCCGGACATGATGTAGTTTCTAGCCATTGATGTTTGTTTTGTGCACTATGTTGCAGTGCAGAATTTTATTTGTCCGGACACCATTCTTGCCATTATAATCAGTACAAGGTTATAAATAGTTCTATAATTAATTTTGGCAGCTGCATGAGTGTATCGGAACAGCTCTTGGTGCTATGGGACCGGAGGATTTTTTGAGTGTTCTACCTCTCAAATTGGAAGTTGAAGATCTAACCGAGAGCAATCATTGGCTTTTTCCAATTCTAAAACAGTACACCGTTGGTGCTGATTTGAATTTCTTTACCACGTTGATTTTACCCATGGTTGGAAAAATGAAGCGGAAATCTGCAGTGGTATGAATATCTTTGAGAGTACTTTCATTAACTTATAATCTTTTTTATGCTATGTACTAAATAAGCATTATTTATTCCAGCTCCAGCAGGAAGGAAAAACTTATTCAGCGAGAAGTGCTGATGGAATTGTGTACTCCTTGTGGTCACTGCTACCGTCATTTTGCAACTACCCCGTTGATACTGCTGAAAGTTTTAAGGGTCTGAAGATAGAGTTATGTACTGCTCTTAAAGAAGAACCTGATGTCTGTGGTATAATATGTTCCAGCTTGCAGATCCTTATCCAGCAGAATAAGAGAATACTGGAAGGGAAAGAGAATACCCCGAATACTGAAATAGGCATCTCAGAAAAACGAGCTATTGCCCTGTATACTGCAGAAGTTGCCGGCTCTAACTTGACTACGTTGAAGTCATCTGCTCGTGACTTGTTGGTCGTTCTTACTGGAGTATATTCTGAATCTTCTAAAGAAACTGGTGGCGTTTTGCTGGCAAGTCCACTAATTCTTTCGCACAGTAATTGTGTATCCAGGCTGGTTAAACATTTTATTTTATGGAATTTGCTTTCTGCACAAAAAGATATAAACTTGATTTTTAAAACATTAGTATAAACTTGCTTTCTGCACATGCTATGCAGCTAATATGCCCACAAGCTACAAGTTGGATAATTAAGTTCATTATTTTTCTCACGACTTGCTTATTCTTGCAGTCTGCAATCAGTGAACTTGCATCAATATCAGATAAAAAGGTGGTCACATTGTTTTTCAAGAAAACCATGCAGAACCTTCTGAAGTTGACAAAGGAGGCTGGAGTACAAAGGAACTCCTCAAATTCAGATTCCATGCAGATTGATAACTCGTCCCACGAAGATTCATTGTCAACAGCCAGGTGGGCCGTTTGGTGCCGTATAACCATATCCCATTTTCTTGCCTGCAGCTTGCATGCATAAATTAGGACTCTGGAAGTTATTTCCTAGCGAATTGGTTCTTACATAGTATTTTCTTGTATGCAGGGCACAGTTATTTGACCTTGCAGTTTCCTTTTTACCTGGCTTAAATTGCGAGGAAATTGATGTTCTCTTTGTTGCTGCCGAAAATGTATTGAAGGTTCGTCTTTATTCTCTTTTGCACCACTAACCATTGTGCTGTGATGGAAGATTAATATATCTTTTAGATGTGAGCAGTGTTATACTAAAGTCTAATATATATTTTCCGTGTGCCAGGACACTGATGGGTTGATCCAGAAAAAGGCCTATAGAGTACTATCATTGATATTTCAGGTGCTCAAATACTCCCTAAGAAAAAATAACTTTTTTAGATGTAAAAGTCTTTTTTTTCTTCGTTTGGATCATTGGATAGTTTAGTGGTGGCCCTGTTGCTAACTTGTTTTTGGTTAAAAATATTTGAATAAGCGTACTTCAGTCTGCACTCCTGTTGGTGGACAATATATTATCGTTATTGAATTTTCTACACATTTGGGCTGATGTCGTGAATCAAATTTACATTGACAGCACTCTGATGATTATATCTCGCGAAACCTCGAAAAGGTGCTCAGTTTGATGATTGAAGTGCTGCCCTCTTGTCATTTTTCTGCTAAACGATACAGGCTTGACTGTTTGTACTTCTTGATCATCCATGTTTCTAAGGTAATAAGCTGTAGATTCATATTCTGATATGAGTTCACGCTTGAAGTTGTTGCTTAGTTTTAGCATGGCTATGCTTGCAGGAAGGATCTGAACAGAGGAGGCAAGAAATTACTGCTTCCTTCCTTACTGAAATTGTATTAGCCCTAAAGGAGGTACGTCCTGACAGTTCTGGATGCTCTGTTTACGTATATTAATACTTATTTGTTCTGCTATGATGGATGGGGTACTGAATTTGTTATGAAATTACATTTCCCTTGGAACTAGGACAAATGGTGGTAGTCTCATTATGTTACAATCTGAAGCAGTCGACTGAAATGAGATTCTTATTCAATTCAAATGAACTGAAAATTGTTGTGGAAAAAACATTCTTCGGTACAGCATCAAATACTGAATGACACTGGAGTTAATCGTTTTGACATATTTATGTTTAGTGCATACAGTAAAACCCCGATAAATGAATAAATTCGCTAAATGAATAGTTTTCTCCGGTCTCGACTTGGTCAAAGGGACTAAATGAATAACCTCGTGAAATGTGTTAGATTAATTTTTTTTTGAATCCTTAAAAGGCCCCATGTAAACATATATATAATAAACAAAAATATTTCATCTCATAAACAATTTTCATATAAGAAGCATTTCTTCTAAAAGAAAAACATCTAATGTATAGTGACAACTAAAATATCTTTCCTTAATATAGCACTTTTACCACCCGCATGAAGGGTATAGAATATTCCATGGAAATTCAAAGATGTACTTAGTACATTACTTTATATGCTTTAATTTGTTGACCATTACATTGCCTTTAATTTGCCTTACTGTCCTTGAATGTAATTAAAATACTCATCATAAGAAAAAAATTGTAAATATACAATCTAAACGAATAAAGATTCATTTATCGATATTGCCATATAAATAACCTCACTTAATGAATATTTTTTTTTCTGGTCCTAAGGATATTCCTTGATCGTGCTTGTTTATCAATTTGTATTGTGGTTAATAAATGCTGCTTCTTATGGTTATTGTCTTGCTAGGCTAACAAGAAAACAAGAAATAGAGCCTATGAGATTCTTGTCCAGATTGGTCATGCATGCGGTGATGAGGAGAAAGGCGGCCAGAAAGAGAAATTGGCCCATTTTTTTAACATGGTACTTGATCTCATGCTAATGGAGACATACTTCTGCCATATCAATTTTTTGTAATCTTGTTTGTTTCTCTTATATAGGTTGCTGGTGGTCTGGCCGGGGAGACTCCTCATATGATTAGTGCTGCAATGACAGGCTTAGCTCGTTTGGCTTATGAATTCTCCGACCTTGTTTCTGCTGCTTACAATGTTCTTCCGTCCACTTTTCTCCTCCTGCAAAGAAAAAACAAAGAAATAGTCAAGGTACACCTCACTGTAAAAATAGGACCTTTTTGTACTAATTAAATTTGTCAGAATCTGCAAGTTTGATTCTTTTTGGTAGTAAATTTTTGTATTTGTTTCAGGCAAATTTAGGTTTGCTGAAGGTATTGGTTGCCAAATCCCAAGCTGAAAGCCTACAAACTCACTTGCGAAGCATGGTGGAAGGATTGCTGAATTGGCAAGATAGTACCAAAAACCATTTCAAAGCAAAAGTAAGTTTTTGACGGTCTTGCTTTTGGTTATTTCTTGTAATTTAACACGTGGTTAAGCTATGCAACCAGTTAACAAGTGCTTAGTGGTACCATAAGCTAAGTTTTATGTTAAGATTGTCACCTTCATGCTTTGAAGTTCTGTTGGGTTTACAGGTGTAAGATATCCTTGTTTTATATATTTTTGTAGGTTAAATTGCTACTTGAAATGCTCGTAAAAAAATGTGGTTTGAATGCTGTGACTGAAGTCATGCCTGAAGAGCATATGAAACTACTGAAGAACATAAGAAAGGTTTGTTAGTAATTGATGTCAGAATGCTTAATTCTCTCTTCCTTTCGAACGACATAAATTTATTGGTGTATTTATATTCTTGTAAATGTAGCTCAAGGAGCGGAAAGAGAAGAAACGGTCTGCTAAATCAGTAGAAGACAAGTCTGTTATTTCAAAAGCGACAACATCCAGGTATTCACTTTTTCTGTTAGACACATTGATACTTAAAAGAGTGCGATTAGAAAACCTAAATGCTAAAACGGAAGCTGTTTTTCCTGTATCAACAGCTAAAACGGAAATGGACTATTCAGAAAGAATCAATTTGTGAACTTTAATATTTATAACTGTATCAAAACAACTGTACTAAGAACTACTTTGTTGTCTGTTCTACAGGAGCCGATGGAACCATACAAAAATATTTTCTGATTTTGGTGATGATGAAGAAATAAACAGTGATGACGAATTCGAGGACAAAAATAGTATTTCTACTCGACGGACCAAGCATTCCTCAGCGTTACAATCCAAAGCAACTATGTTACGGTCAGTTAGTAGATATTTTGTATAACTACCTTATATAATCCCATGTGGATGCTACTACTATAGCACCCTTGCAGAACTACGTCACTAACGATAATTACAACTTCAACCAGAACCAAGAGAACCCGCAAGGCAGCAAAGAGCTTGCAAGAAGACACATTTGACCAATTAGACGACGAGCCTCTCGACTTACTGGACGGTCAGAAAACAAGATCTGCTCTTCGATCATCACAGTTGGTAAATAAAAAGCCCGATTCGGACGATGATGAACCATTCTTAGACTCAGAAGGGCGTATAGTTGTTCAAGAAGATGGCAAGTACAAAAAGTTGGACAGGAAAAAGAAACGAGAGATGCCTTCTGACGAGACTGACGAGTTAGATGGAAGAAGGAGCGAAGCTGGGAGTCACTTAACGAGAAATACCCAAAAACGTAGGAGAACATCTGAATCTGGATATGCATACACAGGCAAGGAGTATTCGAGCAAAAAGGCGGGCGGTGATGTAATGAGAAAAGACAAGCTTGAGCCTTACGCTTATTGGCCACTTGACCATAAAATGGTGAGTCGAAGGCCGGAGCATAGGGCGGCTGCTAGAAAAGGTATGTCGAGCGTGGTGCAGTTAGCGAAGAAGCTTCAAGGTAGAAGCGTTGCAAGTGCACTTTCTGTTAACGGGGTGTTACGGGGAAAGGGCAAAAAGAAAGGTAACCAAAAGAAGAGGTGAATTAAGTTATATGATTTGTTTTTGTAGATTTAGAAATTGGTAGTTTTTTTTTCTTTCGGTTATTTTTGTGGGGTTTATTGAGGTTTTTTTAACTCTTGTAACATTATTATTGTACACCTACTACAGTTCTTTTTTAAGGTTTATTCTTGGGACAAGTTATTCTTAGTGCTTGAAAAAACCCTCGTGTGTGTACCTAAGAATTCGAAAGTGAACGAGTAATTTATACAGACAGGTGAGCTCGACTTTTTCGAACTTGATTTTATGGGATCTTGTTTAATGTTCGTTTTGTGTTGAATGAATGTGAAGAAATAAGTTGGATTTTAGCGGTTTGTGCCTGGAAATTTGTGTTTTCTATTGGAGTTTTTCTTTTTTTTGAAATTGTACCAACTTTGAGTAGGTAATTTTGTAATTAGAGATGTTTTTAGAATTTGAGTATTATAAGAATTAGGCTTTAAAAACCTTTTTGCCATTAATATTATAACAAGATATGATGTGGATAATAAAAGGATGAGAACTAATATCAAAAGGAGAAAATTGATTGTGAAGTAAATTTATGAAATTTTACGTTGGTTCAGCAAAATAGACAATAAACTGGTGAAATTTAATAGTTTAATTAATAAATAATAAGTTAATGACCTCATTGAAAAAAAGTAATAGTAAATTAAGATAACTGACATGGGATTTCCGAAAGTTGATAAATATTATTGAAAAATTATGTGAACCAGCATTAATAAAAATTGGATAATATTGTCAACAACGTCTGGGTGGTGTAGTCGGTTATCACGCTAGTCTCACACACTAGAGGTCCCCGGTTCGAACCCGGGCTCAGACATATATGTTTTTTCGTAATCCGACTCAAACCTAGTGATGAACAAATTTTGGCCCAGGCCTCTCGGCCGACAACCCGCGACCCAGGCCCGTGAATCCCGGCCAGCCCAGAAATTTAATTCAACGGGCTGAGCTTCAGTTTTACTCCACTGACTGGGCCGGCTCGTGGCCAGTAACGGGCTTGTGGGCCGCCCACCAGGCCTGGCTCGCTATTGGCCCAAAAATATCAGAAAATACTCTAATAAATATGTATCAGGAGGTGCTATTCGCGGTAGTAAAATTACGAATGTCGTTTTAAAAAATCCACTCTCTTTCTTTCTCTCTCTACAATTTATCATTCCAAAACTCATGTTATTGTAGCCATTTGCAACTCTACAATTTTAGCTTTTCTCATGTTAAAACGTGACCCACGACCAAACTGGGAGCTAAAAAGCCCGATTCGCGGATAACACTTTTACGCGCCCAAACCGGGCGTGCTCTGTGACTGAGATTTAATAAAAATAAATTATATATTTATGCTGCCATAACGATTCGAACACAGGACATTACTTTGGAAACATAGGCTTACCTGACCAACAAGGCTACAACCATTTTGTTAATAAATTATTATTGAATTGTATTTATAGATCTTGTTATACTTGGCAAAAAATAATAAATACACGCTGCTGGAAAGACACGAACACGGGTCTATTGCGTGACAGACGAGACGCCTGACCAACTAGGCCAGAGCGAGTTCATAAGATAAAGATTATTTAAATATAATATAGAATGTCATTTATACTGGATAAAAAAAAAATTGAACCGGACGACCGGTCCAGAATCGGCGTCCGGACCGGACGCCCAAACCAATTTTCCGCGCCCAAAATGGGCGTGTGAAAGCAGTTTCCACGCCTGTTTTAGGAGTGGAAACTGCTTTCACACTCCCATTTTGAGCGTGGAAAATTCGAAAACCCAACACTAAAAACAGCCCCAAATTGCGATTTTTTGGGGATTTTCACATAATTAACCACAAATTCAATATATATAACTACGTTAGATTATTAATTACCTTTCAAATTGACGAGATTTCGGATTTGAAAGAATTTGCGAGAGAGGTTGAAGGTTTTTGTGAATTTGGGGGCTTTTGGGGCTTGGATGGATTTGGGGGTTTTTAGAAAGAGAAAGAGAAAACTATTGTTAACGATATTCGTAATTTTGCTGTCGCATAAATCATTTCAGATATGGATCTTATTAGCCAAACATATGAATTTGGCTCACTAGCCAAACAATGTCTCGTCCGTTTTTTTTTTAATTTAATAAATACCCCCTATTAAACATTGATTTTTAATATTGAAATGTTAAATGTCGTTTCAATTTTACTAATATCATTTTGACTTTAACCTGATTTTGACATATTTCTATTTTAATTTTGGCAAAATTCGAAACACAAAAATTGTAGTCCTTTGAGTTAGTTTTCTAATTCAACTTAAATTCGCTAAATTGGATGTCGTGTGACAAAGTTATGCGCATGAATTTGAATTTTAGATACATCAATACATCAAAGTTGTGGGCAATAGTATCCATTGATTCATGTATATCTTTCTTGTCCGATATCCAATTTTGGTGATTCAAGTTGGATTAGAAAACTAACTCAGATTACTACAAATCCTTTTTGCAAAATTTGGAATAGAAAATGATCAAAATCATGTTTGAAGTCGAAACGGTATTATTAAAGCTCGAACGACGTTTATCACATCCCTTTTTAATATATCATCTTTTGTAGATGTATGATTTAAAAAAAATAATAATAATAAATATAAAAAAAAAATAAACATTAATTATTTATGTATAAATAATCCTGTTAGTTGGTATACTAGTCTAGAAGTGGTGTATGTTACAACCATTGTAATGAGTTGTTGCAAAAGGCTAAGACACTGTTCATCTGTTATAGTTTGCAATTATTCCTACTCAAAATTTAATTTATTTTTTTATTATTATTAAATTTTTTTTTTTTTTGTAATTTTCTTGTTGTACAAATACACTGAAAACAGCCAATCATAATCAAAATCAAATTGCTGAAGCAATTTTTTATTTTTAATCAAATTACATACCCCATACATCATTCTTTTCTCCAAACTTATAAAGCACCACAAAATCTATTGAAATGGAGCAAATAAAATTGATGAATTATGGCCACCAAACCCGAATGAATTAGACAAAGCCACCTTAATCGACAGCCGTTCTTTCGTCGGTCCCACCAGCAAATTTGTATCCTGTATAAAAATGGTGTCATCAGTATTACATCTTTACGAAACAATAATGGTGTCTGAACCGAACTAACTTGGCTAGCTAAATGCATAATTCTTGATTTATATCAATAAACGCTATGTGGATTCATTGAACCGATAAACCGACTGCATCAAATTAAATTGCTCAACCGTATTTTTAGATCCCTACAGCTGCATGTTTTCACACATCTGATTATCCATCTATTTAATGCCCAAACATAATATGCAGCTGCAATTAAACATGTTCTAAACTAGTGGCTCTGACAAACGATATTTTCTTTCAAATAAGTGAATGAATTGACAAAACACGGCATATGCTATTACACTGTTAATTTACACGTGAACTTTCTCGAGTTTAGGGGCAAAGGAAACATACCACACCAGTATCTGGATTTTCAAGATTGATATTTGGATGAACCCAGCCTGTCCGGATTGCCTACAAAAAGATAAGATCCACGTTTACCATAAATTCAAGTAACTTCCAATTAGCTAATCAGTTTAAAATGTATAGCTGTGAAACAAGAACGGTGGAGCAAAAGTACGAGACAAGTGGAATGTAATGAATCATGCCATTGCACACCGTCAATTAATGAGAACCAGGGAGCATGGGTTCGACGTGAAAGCATATATACCATTCAGTAGGAATCTCAACAAATTAATCATCTGATACAGCAGCCTACAGATTTAACAAAATTGGCCTTATAATATCCGGTAAACCTACAGATTAATCATCTGATCAATAGTTAATTATGTCTCCTTCATCAAGAAAAGTGGTCCTACAAAATAGCTGGAAACTCTATCACATTAAGCATTTGATCAATAACAAAATTAGCTCTCTTTCCGTTTATAAACAAAAGTGGTCCTACAAAATAGGAAGTTGCAACTGCCCCCAGTCCCGTCACTAGGTTCCTTTTTTCCTTTTCTGGGTTGTGTTATTAAAATGAGTTTGTCCTAATGATGAGTCAGCAATAAATGCAGCATATCCAAGCTAACTAATTAAATATGTCACCTGCACAGTTGCAACTGCCTCCACAGCACCAGCTGCACCGAGCAAGTGCCCGATCATAGACTTTGTGGAGTTCACTCTTAACTGCAGAATACCCGAGTCAGCCAAAATTGCGAACGAAAACTTTTACAATGAACAATTAATATGAAATGAACCTCTGGATTCTTCCCGAAACAACGCATAAGCGCTTGGTACTCTTTTAGATCACCAGCTGGAGTAGATGTTGCATGTGCATTTATGTAATTCACATCTTCCTTCGATACTCCCGACTGAGCCAGAGCCTTTTCTATGCATAGAATTACACCAGCTCCTGCTTGTGCATACGGTAAAAAAGTCAAGCAAATGTTGCAATAAAATATAGCAAAAATAGAAGCCAGCGATACTTTGAATTTTGAAAATATAAAAACTTAAAGATGGTCAAAATCGTTGGATATTTGGAAGCCAAGAAAGAGAATTATTCAAGACATTCCAAGAAAGATCACACCTAATGCAATAATAATGTTATTTGAAAATAATAGAATGAAAATCTTGCAACAACTCAGCCCAAAAGCTACTTAACTGCCAAAAAAAAAATAGTACATAACTGCTAAAGAAGAAGATTTTGTAAGCCAGCCAATCTAAGCAATAAAACCAATCATGATCACACCTTAGGTCATATATAAATCTATATACAATTGCACTCCTCGCCCACTATGATATTGACTTTCCGACATGTTAATTCTAGGATATGAAAGAAAGAGGATGTACCTTCTGGATGAGGCTCTGTCATGTGATAAGCATCACAAGTGAAACTTCCACCAAGAAATTCAGCATAGATAGTTGCACCTCTTTTCTGCTCATCCGCGTATCATTGAAGAGATTAATTCAAATGTTAATAGGATAAGAGCGAATTCCATCTGTATATACAACAAGAGTATTAACTCTTGAACCGATTAGAGTTTGAGGATACCTTAGCATGCTCAAGTTCTTCCAGAAGTAATACTCCAGCCCCTTCTCCCATAACAAATCCGTCACGCCCCTGTCAAAACCAGAATTAAGTCAGAGAGGAAGTGATAGTTGAATAAAAAAAGAACATGGATCTTTAACTTGCTTTGTTTCCATTAGCAGTCACAAAACCCAACACTTAATGGTTCTTAGTGAGTATAATTGTCGTTCCATACTTGGGGATATAAAATCCAAATCTCTCAGTAACACAAACCCAGAACTCAGATCACGAATGACTGAATATATGCAATATAAAAATGCTAATATCCAGACATTGAAGGTATTAAATAGAGTATGCATGTTGCAAGCACAAATGTTTGCCAATACCATAAAATTTGAAGCTGTGATGCTACTGTTCTCCAGGACGGGAAACGATTTTTCAATAGCCAATGCAAACAGTTCATGATTTGTTTTCTTGCAAAACATTTTAAATATGAGATAGCTACTGAAATAATATTTCATTTGATAATAAAATAACAGTTCTACTTTGTACTCTAGGTTCTAACAAACAATGTTAACAATGGAATATGGAGCAAGGTAAATTTCAGGCATTAAAAAAATGAAATTTATGAGATAGCACAAACTTTCAACAGATTGTTCCATCCAATTCTTTCACCTATGATAAGAAATAGCATAGAGAGCATTACACTATCCCAGGGGCGCGAGGCTTTAGTGGGATCAGCGTTCCTCTGTGACAGTGCTCTGCATGCGACAAAGCCTCCTAATCCTGCACCACAGTTTACGATTAGAAGCTGAAGATGGCAGCATTTGAAACATATGTAAAGCAAGAAAAAGGAGTATTACCAATCGGTATTATTGCTGCATCTGATCCACCACAAAGCATCATGTCCTGCAAAATGTCAACAAGCATTAACATTACGGCTTACGCAACAATGAACGGGAAAATGACTTATCATTAGATATTTGCCAGGGTGATTCCGAGAATTAGAAACAAAATAAAACTAGACTGTAGAGCTCTAGTTTGAACTTGGAAGAAGAATACAAGAGACTTACAGCTTCCCCTCTGATGATGTGGTTAGCAGCATTCAGTATACAGAAGTTGCTTGTTGCACAAGCAGTAGATATTGAGTAATTTGGGCCCATCCATCCCTGTAATACAGAGCTAATTATGCTTAGAATGATACCAATAGGTTGTGTTAATCAAGTAATTATTCAGAAGAAGGAAATTGTGTAACCAAATCCATAGCAAGCATGGCAGAGCCCATATTTGTAGTTGCAAAAGGTACACAAAATGGATTCATCTTCCTGTAAGAAACCCGCAAAGCTTCAATTGCATCATTGAAGACCTGTCAAAATAGTAGAGAGGGCAGTTAAAAATTCATCTCTAGATAAAATGATGTGAATGTAGAGAATCTCATGATCAAAACAATTAGAAGTCCTCAATTTAAAGAACTTATGCCCATACGAGGGAGGATTTAATTCATTATGAACTTCAAAAATTTATAATAAGATTTGATCTCATGTAATCAAACTAAGCTATTCTCATTTTAATTCGAAGAATCATAAGCTCGGAAATGGTTCAAGAATATCTCTAAGGCCATGCTAAGTAGTGGTTCAAGAACAATCACATCTCTAACTGCAAATACACAATATGAAGTACTAGGGAGATGCCTTTCCTCACATTTTTGTGCAAACAATAATTTAACCTTACCTTCATCCCCCCCATACCAGAACCAATCAACACTCCACATTTTGATTTATTTAATTCCTCCATGACATCTTCCGTTATTCCTCCATCAGCTAAGGCCTTCTTGCCTGCGGTCAGCATGTAAAGCATGAACTTGTCCATTCTTTTGGAAAGTTTGGGAGCAACCCAGCCATCTGTCGAATATGACTTGATTTCTCCAGCAATTCTCTGCAATTGTAAATATTCCCGTAAAAATCACTTCCAAGTCAAAATCAGAAACCAGTAACCTTTAAATAATAACAATAAGACCAGAGTCAAGACATACTGTTGGATAACGGGAACAATCAAAAGCCTCTATCTCACTAATGCCACTGACTCCTTCTAGCAGGTTATTGTAGAATACATCTGGATCATGACCCAGTGGTGTCTCCACTCCCATACCTGTCACAACCACTCTCCTTTGCTTGGTAGGAAGATTCTTCTTCGTCGTAACTTCCAAGCCCGGATGTACAGATACGGCCATTGCTTCTCCTATAATTGACATGAGTTTCGAGAGAAAGCAGTGATTCACTCAATGGCCCACTAAAATGAATCTAACATATCAAGATGATAAAAGGGGTCGAAGACAAGCCGCCATCCATGTGCATGCAGAACTCTAAACAATTATAAATGTCAGCAGCTAAAAAGGTCATAAGAAATGAACCACCCACAATCACTTTGCCCATATAAAAGGGAGCAGCAAGAAACAGAGTAAGATTGCAAACCAAACTTCACCCACCGTGGAGAAAATTTAAAGTAGGTGCTAAATTTATCTCTCGCGGTTACACCCGTTCATAACCACACATAGGAAAGACAGGGGATAACCATCCAATAAAACTGATAGCATGCTTCATGCATAAACTATGAAAAATAGCAGGGCAGCCAATTATCAAATCCCAATCCAAACGACGAAATATTGAGAATTAAATCTAACAAAACCCAGTTCCTTGGTAATTAGGCATGCCAGTAAATCTCAAATTTGATGTTACAAATAAATTAAGAAAATTCATAAAAAATAAATAAAAAAATCATAAAATTAAAGAGTCGATTAAAACAAAGCTCAATCATACAGTCATATAGTAAGAGATAAAAATCTTACCAGAATGAGCAGCCGGGCGAAGGATTTTTCTGCGACTGCGATGCACCGGAGCATTCCTCGATCCGAAGCCAAAGAAAAATTCACAGGCATGCGAAGATTTATAGAACTGATCGCAGGGCTCGAAGGCTAAGCAGGAGGCCACGAGATTCGGAGCGGCGGACAACTCCGGCGCACACTTGGCAAGAGCCCTCTTCCGGCGGCGCGCCGCCCATTTGCTGAGGCGGGGCGAATTGGACGACGACAGCATGGAAACGGAGGAGTCCTTTTCACAAGCGACTGACATGCAAGCGGCCATTAGCCACGAGCACATCAACGAAGACGCCGTCGCCGCCGCCGCCATCCCCAATCTCCAATTCCTCCGCCCACACTCCACAAACCACCGCTACTTATAAAAAATGTATATATCTATCTATTTTATACACACCAATGTGCGTCTCTGCACACAACGATTTCTAATTAAATAAAATCAAATAAAAATTCAGTCATTTTATACAGAGAATTCAGAGCAACAGAACTCGATGGTGAGGTGAAATTAACGAGACGGCAGTCTGATTGATTTATTGATTGATTGAATCACATATAGAGAGAGAGAGAGAGAGAGAGAGAGAGATGATGGGGATCCAAAATGGTGTCGTTTTTTCGTTTTTAACGCTGTATCTCTTTTCTTCTGAGAATAATATATACATACAGATATGTGTATGTATATATTTATGGAGCAGTATCTGATTGTACACTGTGTGTGCAGTCAGTCCCACTTCCCAAATCACATACGATTTTCTCTCTCTAAAACTCTCTCTCTCTCTCTCTCTAAAACTCAAGGGCATATGTGTACATCCAAACAAAATAGGCGAAGCATCTATGACCATAAAATTTGTTCGTTATGCAATAAATTTTATGTCCCCACTACATTATTATGCTTTTAAATAATTGGGCCACAAAATTAATTAAGATAAGTCAAATTCCATTTAAAAAGAATCGAAAAAATCGGAATTGTGAAAATTGAAATGTGAAAGCTTGTTCCAATAAAATATTCATACCCAGATTAACGTATGCGAAACGAAGCTTATATTTATTAATATATACATACATGGATTGATAGCAGCCTTGTTGGAATATACTCTAGTATAATGGATCGTAATTATGACAAAATGTCACGGTGTGGGCTTCAACCGTTTGATCTATCTGAAGTTTACAAAACCACCCCTCCCAGTTTAAATAATTATTAAAAAAATTAAAAAAATAAAATAAAAAATAAATTGTGACCGGATGTTTTCTCGTTGTCTTGAACTTTCTATTAATTTTTTTATTTTTTTAAATCCTAGATGCGATAGATTTGTTCCACTTCGAATTACATTTGAAGCTTATAATTTATACTTAAATAAAAACTTGTATATGTTTATATACCATATTTGTAAATATACCCATATAATTTGTATTTACACCTGATGATGTTAAAAAAAAATCATCTGGAGTGTTAAGTTGGGAGAGCAAAGTAGGTCACGTGCTCACGAGCTAGATGGTCCTGAAACACTTTAATTAACTTAATAATCCTGCGAACAGAAAACACGTAATCTAAATCGGGGTTGATCCGACGGAAACCCCTCCGACGCTCAAGTCAAACGTGAGGATAATCGGTAATAGCCGAGAGAATTTGAGTAGAATAAGTGACTAAATAAAAAAAGCATACCTAGGGATGGCAACGGGTCGGTTCTGGGCCGGGTTTGTCTAAACCCAAGACCCGACCCACGAAAAATATACAAACCCAAGACCCGCCCCAACCCGCTTTAGCTTAGATCCAGACCCGCCCCAACCCAAACCCTAACTAAACGGTTCCGACCCGCCAGACCCGCTAGACCCATTAACATACAAAAAGTTTAATATTTTTTAATTTTTATAACATTTTGCTTGGATATTTTTACGAAATAATTTCAATACTAAAATAAAATATTTTAAAAAATCGCTACAAGTGACATAACATGAACAGTAAAATTACAATTAATTATATTTAACTTCGATAATAAGTAAAATTCAAGATGCAAGAAATTAACGGTGGTCAACAAGTGATAAATATTACTCATGAGAAATAAAATTCGAAAAATAAAATAGTGAAAATAGGTAAATGAGAATAGACAAGATGGAAATTGATAGTTTGATAAATGAAACTCGAAATTATATATATATATATATATATATATATATATATATATATATATATATATATATATATATATATATATATATATATATATATATATACGGGTCGGTTCCGGGTCGGTTCCAATAAGACCCATAACCCGACCCAGAACCATCCGGTTCTAGAAACTTAAACCCATTACCCGACCCAGAACCATTTAGCTGACCCAGACCCGCCCCAAACAGGTCGGTTCCGAGTCCAAGACCCGCCAAACCCGTACCCATTGCCATCCCTAAACCTTCATTAAATGAATTTAAGTTCTATTTATACTTTATTGATTGGACCGAGATCAATTTCTCGGGCCCAACCTTATTTGAATATGATTGGGCCTCCGTAGAAATAGCTATTAAGTTGGGCATGTGACCCAGTAAATATGGGTCTATTGGGCTGGGCCAATAGGCATATCCCAAGTTCCCGTATACCTATTTTTGGAATATGCCGCTTTCCTGTAGGGGCGTGCTAAATCCTACACTAAAAATCACTAAATCACGCACACAAATTACAAAAACTCTCTCTCTACTTTAAAATATTTCTCTCTCTAACCCATTTTTCTCTTATTTCTCTCATCACTTTATTTTCTCAAAATTATTCAAAAATCATTTTTCTTGATATAATCATCATGAAAAGCATTTTTAAATAATTTATTTTTATGAATCAATTATTAAAAAAAAATATTCAATATTTAATAAGTATTTCAATTGTTGTTTTAAAACGTTAATAACATTAGTTAATATTTAATTACAATAATTAAATATTTAAGAATATAATCAACCAATTAAAAAATAATTGAAAAAGGAAAACCTAACCACTAAATCAATCCCGGCCGCCCAACACCCCCACCCCCTATCTGCATCCGCCGCGGATGCACGTCCATGGCAGCATTACTACAGTTGCTTCTCACATAGCTTCTCACGTATTCTTAAAATATTCCATTAAATTGGAATATTTTGTGTTGATTTTGTAGTAGAAGATTTTTTTGTGTTGGAGCCCAATTATTTACCCGCCGTTATAGTTTCAGAATATAATCCCACCGCTGCTTAAACCCTAACTCCGGCCGATAGGAAATTCTGTGAAATTGATAGCAAATTCCCCCAAATTGGATTCTGGAAAGTTGATGTAAGCTGAAAAATGGAGCAGAAGAAGAATAATAAGAACAATGGTGGAAGAATAAAAGAAGAGAGCAACACTCCGTCCGAAGTATTCGCTTCCTGCTCTTTCTCCAGTCTCGGCCTTCATCCCACACTATGCGACCAGCTCAAAGGTTATTTTTTGTTTCTGTATCTTACAATCTGTTAATTATGGTTGCAATAATTTAATGGTTGCTCTGAATGTTTTTGTTTTACAGAGAGGATGGGTTTCGACGCGCCGACGCTGGTTCAGGCTCAGGCAATACCAGTCGTGCTCTCCGGCCGACACGTGTAATTTCAAATTGCCCAACTCTTTTTTCTAGTTTTAATTTGTTTGTTGTGTGATTGTGGAAGTATTTTGTATTTGGGACATTTTTATTTTTTATTTTTTTGATGATTGCATTTGGAATTTGTAAAATTAGGCTTGTGAATGCGGCGACGGGCACTGGGAAAACTGTCGCATATCTGGCTCCGATTATTCATTTATTGCAGAAATTTGATCAACGAGTTCAGCGGTCAGATGGTACTCTTGGTATGTTTCATTTGTTTCTAGAAAATTGAATGTTTATTCTCATTCTTGGACCTGTATTCAACTTCTACGCGGTACGCGTAATGTTTAAAATATTGATTTCGGAGGTTCGGGCTAAAAGTGTTACGCTCCTCATTTTTATGCTTCAACGTTTTTGTTAACTTGCCTCCATGAAGCGATTATATTAGCTTGAGGTGAAAATTTATGAATGCATCTGTTTCTGCTCGTGTTTCCAGCTTCCACACCCTTTTCCCATCCTTTGTGAAAATTGTTCTGGAGTAATAACATATTCAAAATAGCGTTGGTTCTTGTACCAACGCGTGAATTATGCATGCAGGTGCATGAAATATTGCAGAAGTTGTTGCATCGTTTTCACTGGATTGTGCCTGGCTATATCATGGGTGGCGAAAACAGGTCGAAGGAGAAAGCTAGGTTAAGGAAAGGTAGGAACTGCAGTTTGTTTATTCTTACTCTTTTATTTTGACTTAAGCTTCATGCTAGCAATTCAGTTCGATAGTATTGGCATTTGGAATCAGCTTTTTTCTTTTTAGTTGTCAGAATATATCCTGCATTAAAATATATACTTTGTATGACTTTTGTTCCCAGCGATATGCGATTGAGTTTTTTTATTTTATTTTTTATTATAAAGGTAGTTAAAGACTGTTTCGATTATTTTTAATTGAAAGCACCCTGAACACCAAAATGGCAAGTTTAAGCCTGTGAAAATTAGCCAAAATTTTGGACGAATAAATGGGATTCACTCCTCCAGTTATCATCGGAATATGCAAAAAATAATTGCTTCTACACATGCAAACAAAGCATTCATGTGAACTTTATATGTGTGTTTAGATAAATAGGATCTAGTTAGCCCCCTCAGCAATATTTTGACTAGGGTTGTTTCCAGGTGTATCTATCCTTGTTGCGACTCCTGGACGCCTTCTGGACCACTTGAAGAATACCGCATCATTTGTGCATACTAATCTTCGCTGGATAGTATTTGACGAAGCTGATAGGTATTGCACTTTGTTCTTCATAACCGGCTTTGAGCGATAATAGAACTTTGGTTTTCCTAATATGCTGTTTCTCTTGTAGGATTCTTGAACTAGGGTATGGAAAAGATATAGAAGATATACTAAATTTTTTGGGCACAATAAAAAATAAAGATGCGGATCCAGAAGTTCGGATGCAGAATTTGTTGTTATCAGCTACACTTAATGAGAAAGTGAATCAACTTGCTAATATTAGTTTAGAGAATCCAGTCACGATTGGTCTTGATGACTGAAGAAGTTGCAAATTGCAAATCACAAGCACTTTTCAGTTGAATCTGATGGGGTCGATAAAGCAGAAGAACCCGGAAAATTAAATTCTTCAGAGAAGGAATATAGGCTTCCTTCTCAGTTAGTTCAGAGGTACATTAAAGGTACGGAATATTGTGACTTGTTTATACAAACTAATCATCTGTTATTCACGTATTTAATAGTTTACTTTTTTTGCAGTACCATGTGGTTCTCGACTTGTTGTGCTCCTTTCCATTTTAAAGCATCTCTTCGAGAGAGAGGCTTCCCAAAAGGTGAGGCTCAGTCTGAAGACCCTATTTGTAAATTTGATCTTTACTTTGTCGGTTTTCTATATTTTATTTTTTTTAGAACTTCTAGGTCCAAAATTTTATCTATTTGATTTTCTTTGCAGTTACAATTGACTGTGCCTTCCATTTTACAGGTTGTGGTATTTTTTTCGACATGCGATGCTGTTGATTTCCATTATTCTCTGATAAGTGGATTTCTGTGGTCAGCCATGCCGCAATCAGAAAAAGAACAAAGAACAAAATTTTTAGGCTGCAAAACTTTGAGGTTACATGGGAGCATGAATCCCGAAGATCGTAAAACAACATTCCAAACGTTCAAAACAGAAAAATCCGCTCTTCTATTGTCAACAGATGTATCTGCTCGAGGCCTGGATATCCCAAAAGTCAGATGTATCATACAGTATGATTCTCCAGGCGAGGCCACTGAATATGTTCACAGGTATATATTATTATATTTTCTCATGACCTGTAGCTGATGTCATATTTGGGCCTTTTTCCGATTATTTTTTATACTTTCTGAGGGTGTATAACTATAGTGTAATCTACCTTTCTTATGCTATTTTATTACCCACTTCAGGGTTGGAAGAACTGCGAGGTTGGGTGAGAAGGGAGATTCTATACTGTTCTTACAACCACTTGAGATAGATTATTTGAAGGATCTGGAGAAACATGGGGTGGCGTTGTCGGAATATCCCGTTCTCAAACTTCTGAGTAGCTTTCCTTCGTATAGTTCGAAGAACCAGGCCAACAAGTTTGTTTCAATAGAGATGCATCCATGGTTGGTTGCTTTGCAGAGAGGTTTAGAATCATTTATCTCATCGGAGGTATGTTTCATCTCTTTGAAGACACGCTTTACATGTTTTATTTACTACAGCAATGCATTAAGGCCTCGTTTGGTTGGGGAGATTAGTCATGATTAACTAAATAATTTGAGTTAGTTTGATGTTTGGTATACCCAATAACTTCCCGGGTCGACCCAGAAATCTTATGTTACCATGGTTTTATTTAATCTTATCTTGGCTAATCGTATCTTGGCATCCAAACGAGGTCTAATAGTATACATATCATTTTAATGCTATGTTTAGTGCAAATCAGTGGTGAAATGATTGGTATCAATCTCATGTTATTTATCTCAAGGTTCTGAGATTTCTTTTGTATTTCCATGTTACATTTTGGGCTGAGTTTCGATTTTAAGAGGATTAATCTTGTAATAATTGTTTTCTTTCGTTTTTATTATGTCAGCCAAAGGTGAACAAATTAGCCAAGGATGCATTTAGCTCGTGGGTCCGTGCATATACTGCGCATCGTGGTGAACTGAAACAGATTTTTACGGTGAAGAAACTTCATCTGGGACATGTGGCCAAAAGTTTTGCATTGAAAGATCAACCTTCAATAGTTAACAAATCAATCCAAAAGCAATTGAAGCGGAAGAGGGACGACAAGCAGAAAATAAAATCAAAGAAGAGGTTTATCAGTAAATCTCGGGTCGTGAGTTCTGAATAGAGAAAGCCTCTAGCTCTGCACTTTCCTCGTTGACTTTAATTATGCGCAATACAATTGCCAAGCTGGCATTCGAGAGTAATTAAGAAGGCAAGCATAAAGGTTAGCACTCTTAACATATATAATACATATTGACTTATTCTTGCAGAAGTTACATGCAGAAGCCGATTGCTATCGATAGTTCGCTTTATGCTTCGGTCAAGTGTACCTTTCTTTTCCTTTTGAGTATCATTCACTTCTGAGATACTGTTGTAATATATACGATTGACTGTCTATTTGGGTTTACATGAATTTCTACATGATGTGTACCAAACATACTATGTGTTCGGATTCTAGAATTACTCTCGGTGACAATATATTCTCGTTTCTGTAAATAATTTACGGTTTTTAAAAATTTTCGGAGTTGCAGCTAACTAGTGCTGCAGAATTAAATAAACGAAGATCTAACGTTGGCATATGTACATGTTCAAATATGTTCATGCATTATAGTCAATATAACTAGATAGAGACATATATTTATGGGTTAAATACAAAAACACCCCTGTACTATGGACTTTGTATCATTTACCCCCTGTACTACACATAAATACAAAAACCCCCTGCTATTATATCTTTTCCAAAATCTGACGAAAATACCCCTGCTAAACCTATAAATATAAGGGTTTGTTTGAGCCATTTTCTACTATATTTTTTAACATTTTCGGTCAATTTTACTTGGGAAATTTTTATTTTTTTATTTTTTCCTTTAAAACATTTAATTACTTAGATTTTTTTTAAAATTTTCTGAATAAAAACCTTTTATTTTTGTCATTTTGAATTTCTTCATTTTTTTCTTAAATGTTTTCCGGTAGAACACATTCTCAACAATAATTGGATTGT